TCTGTGCTGAAGACACCCTTCTGGGGCAAGACTTGCTTCAGTAGGGCTTTGGTGCTCACTGAGTCTGCCCCCTCAGTGTGTCCCTTATGGATCTGAGGAGTTGTAATCTGAATGGTCCACTCTGACCACTGGGTACACTGGCTCTTGGATCTCTAAGGAGGTGCTAATTTAGCCTCTTCCTGAGGCTACCCAGCAGAAGCTATGGAGAGATCTGCAGATTCCTCTTTTTTGTTTGAGGTTTGGAGGTGCCCAGATGAGGCCAAGCTATGAAAAATGCAAGCTGCTGTGGGGCCTTGGGCCTTCTTTTGGATGTTCTGGGTCTCTCTGACCCAGCTGCAGTTTGTTAGGTAATTTTCAGATTGCAAAGGGCCAGGGCATTCATATGCAAAAGCCTCTGGCCACAGCTTGGGTGGGGCAGGGCTCAGGGGAACAACAGGGCAGAGCAAACAGCTATGGCTGCTCTTCAGTCCTACCCTAAGAGGCACCTCGTCTCAGTGTCCCGGTAATTGCTGCATGTACCTCTGAGTTCCGACCGCTGCCAGACAGTCCAGTTTCTCCCCGTATGAGTCTGGGTCCCTAGAGACTCGCCCGGAACTGGAGTTCAGAGCAGTCTGGAGCTAGAGACACCTCCCAATTGAAAAAAACAACCATGTCCTCAGTTGCCAGCCCTTTCTGCGTGTGCCTCCATACCTCTGCACTTTACTTCCGCACCTCCTCTGGGTCTCAGTGTGCTTTCCTCTTTCCTTCTAGTTGTAGAATTTCCACTCAGCCAGCCTTCTTGTGGTTCTGGATGATGTCTGTTTTGTCTTTTAGTTGTATTTTTGAAGTGGTTGTGTGAGGCAGCAATTTCTGGAGTTTACCTATGCCATCATCTTGGTTTTCGCCCCCTTTGGCCCTTTAAATATGGTTCCTCATGTTGTAGTGACCCCCAAACATAAAATTATTTTCTTTTTTTTAATATATTTTTTATTGGTTAAGATATTACATATGTGTCCTTATCCCCACATTAACCCCTACCCCCCCACCCCCCCGCTCATGTCCTCACCCCGCCCTTCTCACCCCCACCCCCCCCCCCCCCGTTTTCCGTGTCCATTGGTTAGGCCTATATGCTTGCATATAAGTCCTTTGGTTGATCTTTCCCCCTTACCTCCACCCTCCCCTAACTTCCCTCCAAGGCCCGACAGTCCAATCAATGCCTCTCCGTCTCTGGATCAGTCCTTGTTCATCAGTTTATGTTGTTCATTATATTCCACAAATGAGTGAGATCATGTGGTATTTATCCTTCTCTGACTGGCTTATTTCACTTAGCATAATGCTCTCCAGTTCCATCCATGCTGTGGCAAATGGCAAGAGTTCCTTTTTCTTCTTGCTCTTCTTAAAGAATACCTTTCAGCATTTCATATAATGCTGGTTTGGTGGTGATGAACTCCTTTAGCTTTTTCTTATCTGTGATGCTCTTTATCTGACCTTCAATTCTGAATGATAGCTTTGCTGGATAAAGTAATCTTGATTGTAGGTTCTTGGCATTCATCACTTTGAATATTTCTTGCCACTCTCTTCTGGCCTGCATGGTTTCTGTTGAGAAATCAGCTGACAGTCGTATGGGTACTCCCTTGTAGGTAACTGACTTTTTTACTCTTGTTGCTTTTAAGATTCTCTCTTTGTCTTTTGCTCTTGGCATTTTAATTATGATGTGTCTTGGTGTGGTCCTCTTTGGATTCATTTTGCTTGGGGTTCTCTGTGCTTCCTGGACTTGTAAGTCTATTTCTTTCACCAGGTAGGGGAAGTTTTCTGTCATTATTTCTTCAAATAGGTTTTCAATATCTTGCTCTCTCTCTTCTTCTGGCACCCCTATAATTCTGATGTTGGTACGTTTGAAGTTGTCCCAGAGGCTCCTTACACTTTCTTCATACTTTTGGATTCTTTTTTCTTTTTGCTTCTTCAGTTGGGTATTTTTTGTTTCTTCGTATTTCAAGTCTTTGACTTGATTCTTGGGATCCTCTTGTCTCCTGTTGGATCTCTGTATATTATTCTTGTCTGTGAAGCTTCTTATTTCCCCTTCAATTTTGAATGATAGCCTGGCTGGATAGAGTATTCTTGGATTCAGTCCTTTGCTTTACATCACTTTGTAAATTTCCGTCCATTCTTTTCTGGCCTGATGTGTTTCTGTTGAGAAATCAGTTGATAATCTAATGGAAGATCCCTTGTATGTAACTTTCATCTCTCTCTTGCAGCCTATAAGATTCTCTCTTTGTCCTGAACATCCATGGTAATTATGATGTGTCTTGGTATGGGTCTTTTCGGGTTCACCTTGTTTGGGACTCTCTGTGCTTGTGTGACTTTTTTCTTCCCCACCTCAGGGAAGTTTTCTGATATTATTTCTTCGAATAGGTTTTCTAGTCCTTGTTCCTCTTTCTGTTGTTCTGGCACCCCTATTATTCGTATGTTGTTTCGTTTCATGTTGTCCCAAAGCTCCCTTAGGCTCTCCTCCTGTCTTTTAATTTTTTTCTCCAATTGCAGTACAGTTTGGGTGTGTTTTGCTTCCTTGTCTTCTAATTCACTAATTCGGTCCTCCACTTCTCCTAGTCTACTGTTGATACTTTCAATGGTGTTTTTTATTGCAGCTATAACACTCTTCATTTCTTCTTGGGTCTTACTTAAGTTGTTGATTTTTTCATCTGTTTCTTCTTGCTTCTTGCATAAGTAGTTGATTTTTTCATCTGTTTTTTCTTGCTTCTTGTATATGTTATTGATTTTTTCCTCCATCCGGTTTATGCACTCTAGGACCCTTATTCTGAATTCTTTTTCTGTCATGCTGCATGCCTTGGTTTCACTTAGCTGCTTTTCTGGCGAGTCCTCCTTTTATTTCCTTTGGGGGTTTCTGTGTCTACCCATGTTTGATCTCACTGACATATCTAGACATTGAGTTGTTCAGTGGCTGCTCCCTGGGTGACAGTGGCTCCTTGGGCTGTGGTTGTTCTTCGGGTGGTTGCGGTAGCAGCTGCTCCTCAGTTGGCAGCAGCTCCTCTAGTGGGTGCTGTTCACAGCTTTGGTGGCTCTTCTGGCTGGTGGGGGAGGCTTCACGTACAGCTGCTGATCCTCAGAGGGTGTGGTGATCAGGAGGCTGCTGTTGCTTGGATCTGCTTTCCAAGGGAGCTCTGCCCTTCCCGGCTGCAAACCGTCTCACCAGCTGAGTAATTTTGCCAATTCGGGGTGGGTGTTATTAGTTTCAGCTGCTTACTCCATCTGCTCCGGGACAAGACCTGGGACGTGTCTGCCTATATCGCCGCCATCTTGTCAAATCCCTCTGCATATTATTCTTTATTTCAGTCAGTGTATGCTTAATTTCTAGTCGGTCTTTTTTCATATCCTCCAGGGTCTCACTAAATTTATCGGCAGTTTCCATAAAATTCTTGAAAAAACTTATAAACGTGGTTTTGAACTCTATATCCAGTCGTTTGCTTTCCTCCATTTCTGTCCTGTTTCTTTGTCTCTGCATTTTTTATGCTTCCCTGTGTTGGTAGGGTGGCTTTGTGTGCTAGGTGTCCTGTAGGTCCCAGTGGCTCAGCCTCCCCAGTTACCTGAGGTGGACACTCTTGGTGCACCCCCTTGTGGGCTTTGTGCACAGTCTTGTTGTAGTTATGCCTTGATTGTTGTAGGATCACTGGGAGGAATTGTCCTCCAGGCAATTGGCAGTGAGAATCAGCTGTGTCTGCAGTGGGAGAACTTCTGTGCTGAAGACACCCTTCTGGGGCAAGACTTGCTTCAGTGAGGCTTTGGTGTTCACTGAGTCTGCCCCCTGAGTGTGTACCTTATGGATCTGAGGAGTTGTCATCTGGATGGTCCCACTCTGACCACTGGGTACACTGGCTCTTGGATCTAAGGAGGTGCTAATTTAGTCTCTGCCTGAGGTTACCCAGCAGGAGCTACGAAAAGATCTGCAGATTCCCCTTCTTTTTTGGAGTTTGGAGGTGCCCAGATGAGGCCCAGCTGTGAAGCAATGCAAGCTGCTGTGGGGCCTTGGGCCTTCTCTTGGAAGTACTGGGTCTGTCTGACCCAGCTGTAATTTGTTAGCTCATTTTCAGGTTGCAAAGGGCCAGGGCATTCATATGCAAAAGCCTCTGCCGCAGCCTGGGTGGGGTGGCGACTCAAGGAATCAACAGGGCGGAGCAAGCAGCTATAGAAGATCCTCAGCCCTGCCCTAAGGGGCCGTGTGTCTCAGTGTCCCTGTAATTTAATTGGTGCAAGCACCTTTGAGAGAAAGCTGCCCTCGAGTTCCGAGTTCTGCCCGCTGCCAGACAGTCCAGTTTCTCCCCGTATGGGTCCTGGGTCCCCAGAGACTCGCCCGGAACCGGAGTTCAGAGCAGTCGGGAGCTTGTGACTCCCTCCGATTCAAAAAGACAGCCGCGCCCTCAGGTGCCAACCCCTTGCTGCGCGCTCGAGCCTCCATACCTTTGCACTTTACTTCCGCAGCTCCTGACTCTCAGTGTGCTTTTCTCTTTCCTTCTAGTTGTAGAATTTCCACTCAGCCAGCAATTTCCACTTCTTCCTGTAGTTCTGGAGGATGTCCGTTTTGTCTTTTTGTTGTATTTGTGAAGTTGTTGTAGGAGGCAGCAAGTTTGGTGTTTATCTATGCCGCCATCTTGGTTTCTCCATAAAATTATTTTCGTTGCTACTTCATAACTGTAATGTTGCTACTGTTATGAATCATAATGTAAATATCTGATATGCAGGATGGTCTTAGGCGACCCCTGTGAAAGGGTTGTTCAACCACCAAAAGGGTTGCGACCCACAGGTTGAGAACCACTGCTTAAGGGTGAGAGCCAGCACAGAGGATTATGGGAAAGTAAGGCCCAGCCTCAAAGTCCCTGCTTGGCTGCTGTGGTGGCCAGGAGGCAGGGAGCAGGCTGAGCTTTGGAGCAGAACATGCAGCAGACACCGACCCTCTCAGACTCAAGAGGGTCAAACCCAGGACTCCAACGCTGTACTTGACCTTCCAGGACTGCCGCCTGCCCTGGCCCTTTCGGAGCTGCAGGTGATGGCTATTGTTCTGACTTGTGGATTCGTCCTGAACAAGGGCCTGGTGTTCTCAGTCCTGTTTGTCCTTCTCCGGAAAGCCAGGACCTCAGGTGAGTGGGGGCCGAGGCCGGGCTTGGGGTGGAAATGAATGAGGGGACCCAGATGGTAGCTGCAGACAAGAGCTCAGAGGTTCCCCAGAGTTTACCCCCTGAGTTTGCCCAATTCTTTGCCCAGGAGGCAGGCCCAGCCCCGGAAACCCTGTGAATGGCACTGGGCTGGGCTCACCAGGAAAGGAAGACCTGGGGGTGCGAGCGGCCAGCATGGTTTTGGCTGTTTGGCAATCAGTCTTTTCTTCAGAGGAGGGAGGGAGGCTGAAGCCGGGACTGGCATGGATGGATCACGTGCAAATGCTGTCTATTTCTCTCACTCCTCAGGTGAGCCAAACCCAGGGGAGCAGCAAAGCCACCCTTCCAGGAGCTGACGGGCATGCCTTCCTTCCCTAGCAAACATCACATCCACTCTCTGTTCCCCAAACGAACAAACAAATAAACTGATCTCTCAGGGAAGTAAAAGGCTTCAGAAACTTCTTTTGTGAGGTCTCTGCCCAGCCTCTTTCTCATTGAGAGAAATGTACTGAGCGGAAAGTGTGGGGAGCTGGGAGGAAAGAGACCCACTGAACTAATCAGAGGCCCAAGAAATGGCAAACTATCTTTCATAAAAAAATAAAAGCATAATATGCTAATTAGACCGGACAGCCTTGCAACCTTCTGGACGTCATTCCAGACATCCTTCTGGATGAAGCCATGGCGGCAGGGGCAGAGGCAGAGGCAGTTAGGGGTGATCAGGCAGGCAGGCAAGCGGTTAGGTGCAATCAGACAGGCAGGCAGAGTGGTTAGGGGTGATCAGGCAGGCAGACAGGCAGGCAAGCGGTTAGGAGCCAGCAGTCCCGGATTGTGAGAGAGATGTCCCAGATGGCGAGAGGGTGCAGGCCAGGCTGAACGACCTCCTCCCCCCCACCCCCTATGTATGAATTTCGTGCATCGAGTCTCTAGTCTTTTATAAAAAGTAAATACAACAACTGGGACTCAAAGAATCATCCAAATGAACCTGTGCTTGTTCCCGTGCTGCTGTTCAGACGCGCTCTGCTGGGGAGTGTCTGGCTCTCCAGTGAAGCCCATGGCAAGACCCATCACTCTCATGGTCATTTTAAAAACATATTATTTTTAATTAAATTTATTGTGGTGACATTGGTTAATAAAATTATATAGGTTTCATTTTCTGGGTCATTTTTAAAAAATAGACTATTTTTAGAGCAGTTTTAGGTTCCCAGCAAAATTAAAGACACAGTACAGTTCCCATATAGCCCTGTCCCCACACATGCACAGCCTCCCTGCTATCAGCATCCTAGTCCCTGCCCACAGTCACCCATGGACGCAAGTCACCATTCGTCTGGTTTTATGGAATTTATTTTTTCCCACCTCCATCCCCTAGCTGAACTTCCTACCTGTTGCCCATAGGTATCCTCTTAATATAGTTAATGCATATGTCCTTTCACTCTACTTTCCATACATGTATTTACATTTGTGTGGGTCCTTGAAAGCACATAGAAGTGATTCATGTGCTTTATTTTATACACATTTCCCTATGAGCTTCTGGGAATGACTCTCAAAGCCACACTTTTCCATAAAAATGTGTACTCCCATAGAAAACTGTATCACCTCTAGAACATTCTTCCTGGTTCTTTGATTCTGATTCAATGACAACTATTTTATAATCAGAGGCCCAGTGCATGAAATTCATGCACGGGAGGCAAGGGGCTCCTCAGCCCGACCTGCTCCTCTATAAATCTGGGGCCCCATGGGGGATGTTGGGCCTAAACCGGCAGTCGGACATCCCTCTTGCAATCTGGGACGCTGCACGCACCAGTGACCATACTTTTCATACAGGTGAAAGTGTCTTGCTGTTGTATGGGCAGCTACATTTTTTTGCCCTGATTATAAAAAGCAGTACATAACATGATCCTTCTGAGGCAGTAGTGCCATTTTCCCCATCTTATGGGTGAAAACCTGAAGCAGAGAGAAGTTAAGTAATTGGCTTTGTCACACAGTTATAAGTGTCAGAATCAGGGCTGACCACAAAATGTGCAAGCCAGAGTCCATGCATGTCATCACTGCATCATCCTGTTTGTTCAGTGTTAGAGTAGCCTTGCCAGGTTTTAATTTTTAAATCTAAGAGACAGTTCCCAATATAGAGGGTAGGGTCTCTAGGCCTGGTCTGCAATCAGGGTAATCTGTGTGGCGACCGATGAGTGGGGTGATAGGGGCCGCCCCGCCCTGCACCCACCTAGGCTGGTGGCCTGGGCTGCCCACTGGCCAGCCCTGCTTCCTGATTGCTGCTGCAGGTCACCTGCCTCTCAGCGGGCATGCGCTTCATCGCAACCAGTCATTCTGCCGGTTGTTCAACTGTTCAGTTGATTTGCATATTAAGATTTTATTATATAGGATTCCGCAAATCATAGGTAATTGATAGACATACAAATTCTGTGTTTCTTCCTCTATTGTGGGAGGGATGAAAACCCCACACTGGTTAGTCTCCCCACGCAATTCATTTCAACATTTCTTTACTCCATATAAGAAGTTTTCATGTGTATTCTTAAGAAGGCTAAATGCTCAGCCGTCCAGCTGAGGGGAGTTGGGTGGGGTGGACAGCTGCCCTCTCCCCACCAGGACTGTGTCCTCTGCTGCCCTCTGCCCCCCTCCAGCTTCCCCATGCACGTGGGGAAGAAAGTCCCAGAGGCAGCGGGGTCCCAGCGGCTGCCCTGGAGCGGGAGAAAGTGACTAAGAGCTGGGGGTCCCAGAGGCATCGGCAGCAGGGCCTCCAGAGCTGTCCACCCCGGCCCTGTGACCATATACCCTCCAACTGACCTCCCATGTGCCCTGGCCAGGCTGCTGATCCCTCATGTCCTGGGAGCCAGCAGAGCCCACCCTCTCACTGCTGCCACCTGCCGACCAGCCCCTCCTGGGACAGGTGTGAGGGGCAGCTGAGAGCCCCCCTCAGCAGAAGGACCAGCCTGACCCTTGACTGGGGTGCAGAGGCTGAACTCTGGACTGTCTCCCCTATCCTACCTGGGCTCCTGGTTTGAGCCCTTAGAGCAGTGGTTCTCAATCTTCTGGCCTTTTAAATACAGTTCCTCATGTTGTGACCCAACCATTACATTATTTTCGTTGCTAATTCATAACTTTTATGTTGCTACTGTTACGAATCAGGACCGGGACCAGGGACCAGGGCTGCCACCTGTCCCGTGTGACCCTGTGCAGGTCACTAACCCTCCTGGGCCTCAGGTTTCCTCTCCTGTGAAAGGGGGACTCTCATTCCTACCCCAAGACTTTTCAGAATAAAACGAAACAATACAAACTTTATGCAACTGAGCAGGTGCACTGTGGTTGCTGGCCCTCAAGTTCTTTTCAAGTTATAATACTGTGTGTCATATTCTATGTTTTCAAAGCCTGCTGGACCCCACTTCTCTGTTTTGTCCTCAATTGTAAGGGGAAAGGGAGGGTAGAGTGGGACATGGTCCCAGGTGGCGGGTTCAGGACCCAGGCAGAGGCCAGGGTGTGCCCTACTGTCAGGCAGGGTGGCCACCGACCCTGCTTGCTCAGGTGTTGGGGTCCAGCCCCAGCAGGTCCAGGGGTTCCCAAAGCTGTGGACGTAGTCAACGAAGAAGGAATGACACGGAGGCAGCGTTCAGTTGATCAGCATAGCCAGGTTCTCTATCCAGGTTCTCCAGCCAATTTCTGTCTTTTTCCTCCTGTTACATCTGTATTTATACCAGTTGGTTTTAATCCTATCTATTCTATTCCAAAGGTTAGGGCATTTGTGATCTTCATCCCAAGGTCACTACTCTACTGTTCTGCTAAGCTACAAGGAAGTAACTGAAGGAGATTATCCTAAGTAAAGATTATGTAACGGAAGCATGATTGTTCATAGTTAAGGTGATTAATTACTGGCCTGGCACTTAGTTCAGGAGTTTTATTGATTTAGTCCCTTCCTTAGTTCTGTTAATCCCTAACTCCAGGGAAAAATCCCCAACTGGGGAAACAAGCTTTATCAGAGAGGTGACCCTGGTTAGAACACAAAGCGTTAAGAAGGGAAGCAAACATATTAAGAACAGTATGCCATATACGCCAGGTCCCTTGAAACATATGCTGTGCAGATGTTTCTTTCCTGCAGCGACTGTGTCCAGCAGCAAGGATGGACCGGCTTCTGGCACCCAGGATCAGGGGCTCCTGGACCAGGCCAACCCATGCACGCTGCCCATCTGTAGAGCCTGCTCCCACACGACCCCATGGCAAGGAAGGACACAGCTCCTAGACTCGGAGGTTCACACCCCGCCCTGGGTCCTCGGCTGCCAGGGACCTGGTGGCCTCTTTGGAGCTCTGATACATCCTCCCCCAGGTCCCAGCATCTCATTCCCATCTGCTGCTCCCACCCTTGTCCCCAAACTCCAGGGGACCAGGTCCCAGCAGACCCAGGGCAGGGGCGCAGGCAGGCCCGGGTGTCAGGCAGCCCCAAGGTCACAGCTGCCTCAGGCGGTGAGAACCGAGCTTCCTCAGGAAGAGGCTGAGACGGGGTGCCCTGCGGGGGTGACCTGTGGTGGCCACGGGAAGGATGGACATAGAGTCCCCGGCTCCCTTGGCACATTCGATGTTTGAACTGAGGAGCCGGAGCGCGGGCCTGCCACCTTCCATTCTGAGGCAGGCTGGCAAGCTGGAGGCGCCCAGCTCTTGCAAATGCTGCACACCCTGGGTCAGGCAGTTGGTGGGGGTTCAGCCACCCCACCCCTCCTGCAAGGCTGATGAACTCACCCCACTGCTGGGAGCAGGGAGGGTGGAAGGACCTCCCCAGGGGACCCCTCCCAGGGCAGCCCACCCCCCTGAATGGGAAGCAGGGAACCAAGGTCCTGAGGGGCAGCCTGTCCTCAGAGGGTGGTCCGAGTTTCCTGGTGGCCGAGGGCTGCTCCCTCCCTTGCCTGGTCCCAGCACTGTGTCTCCCCAACCACCGCCCCCGTGCCAGTCTCCGCCTCAGGAGTCTGCCCCTGTCAGCCCCACAGGCCGCACTGCACACGTGCAGGGCTCTCTGAACTGGTTGTCTGTCTAATGACTATAAGCATCTGTGACAATGTTTTCCAGTAGCTCCTCTAATAACAGATTCTTTTCTTTAATATTTTAATTTTTATTTTTCAGTTCCAGTTTGCATTCCGTGTGATTTTGTGTTGCTTTCAGGTGTACAGCATAGAGGGGGACAGTCACATACTTTACAAAGTGGTCCCCCAGCATGTCAGTGCCCCCTGGCACCATACCCAGTGACTGCAATATTGTTGGCGAGTTGCCCTGTTCGTCACAGGGATGCAAAGTACAAATTATTTTCTAAAAGCGCTTGGTTAGTATGGTCTTTCAGCAAAGGCTTAAGGAGTGGTGATAATGGAGGCTGGGAGCTGGGGACACAGAGGGCAGAGACCCCCTTTCTCCCCTCCTCCAGCATACATCTCCTGACCCCCCAAGGTCTGCTTTGCTCTCCCACCCTTGCCAGGGACCTTCCCTGCACCTCGACCCCTGGAAATGACTCCCCACTCTTCCTGCCCCTCCAGTCCCCACAGGACACCCAAATTCCCAGCAGCCTGGGCAGGAGGCCTCTGAGCACTGGGGCCTCCAGAGGGTCCCCTGCCTCCATCACTCACCCTCAGCCCTGCTTCTCTGGGTGGCCAGGAGAAAGGTGAGGCGAGGACAGAGAGGAAGAGGGAGGAGGAATGGCTTCTTATTTCACCACCATTTCCTCAAGGGCTTTCACCCATTTCCCCACGTCCCAGGGGAGGGAGCAGCAGGCAGGCTTGGCCCAGAGAGCCCCCAGCCAGGCCCAGAGGCAGCGGGGCAGGGGAGGGTCCTGCATAGCCCAGGCCTCCCCTCCTCCCTGAACCCCTCCCCCCTGCAGTCTTTGCCTTCCTCAGCTCTTCTTCCCAGACAGACTGTGTGGCCTCTGACCCCGCCAGCTCTGGCACCCTCTCCTCAGGGCGGCCGCTGCCACCCAGCTCAGACAGAGGGCCATGGCCTGGGAGGCCCCACACCTGCTGCCCCTTGTCCTGCTGCTGCTCCTGGCCTCAGGTGAGGGCGGAGTCAAGCGGAAGAGGAGGAGGGATGGATGCTAGTGAGGTGGCCTGAGGGGCGTGGGAAGGAGGGGCGAGGTGGTGGGAGGCGGGTGAGCTGGGGACAGGGGCGGGGTGGGGGGGCACTGAGTGTAGCAGAGAGGACTTCCTAAGGAGGGGGCTCCTCTCAGCTCTGAGGCAGGCAGGGGGCTCCCTGACCTGAGGGTTTATTCTCAGGCTCCTGGGAACAGCAGCCACTGCTGCTGCAGAAACTGGAAGGGGAAGAAGTCTTCGTAAGGTGCGATTATCCAGCCCAGAATAGTTCAAAGACGAAAACCTGGTGCAGAATAATAGAAGCAGGAACTTGTACCTTATTAGTCAACCAACCCAGGCTTGGCGAGGAGCCTGGAAACCCACGATACGTCATCAGGGATCACCCCGGAGAGGGGTACTTCACCGTCACCATGACTGCGCTGGCAGAGAAGGACTCGGGCTTGTATTCGTGTGGACTCTATGAATCTTCCCGGATCAACATTCTCAGAACCATCAGTCTGGCGGTCTCTCGGGGTGAGTCCTTCCCTCTGTGTGTGCTTCTCAGGGTCCCTGAACCACAGGAAGCTGATGCTGGAAAGGACCTAATCAGGTCCACCAGCCCCCGTGCCTGAAACCCGGGCCCCTTCCTGAGGTCGCCTCTGGTTACAGGTAGAACCAGCGCCAGAACTCAGACTGCTGGCTCTGGTGGCTTCTCCCTTCCCCAGCGCACACACTTCTCTGAACACTTGTTGTTGCTCAGAGGACTCTCCTTCGAGTCCTACCGATCATGAAGGTGCCTCATGCTTGTGCAATCCTGGCTTATGGGTCCATTCTGGGCACCCTTCCTCCTGACCCTAATCCCACCTTCTCTCCAAGGGCTGTGCTTGAGGCGGGTCACAGGTGACTGTGAGGGCTCAGGGAATGCGGACAGGTAGGGGGAACACACAGTGAGCAGACATGGGATTTGGGGTGAGGCTGGGAGCTGCAGGGGCCGAGGGCTCAGGGGGCCTGGGTCCAACCTGCACCCGCCCCTGATACATGAGTGATCATCAGCCTTAGCGTGGGAAGCTTGAGGCTCCTCCTAACCCTGGGCTACTCCACCATATGCCTGAGAAAGCTTCAGAGGTGCACAGCCCCTCTACATTTCCCCGTGATGGTCAAGGGTTAAACAGTACCTTCGAAGACCCCCGCCCGGCTGCCAAGCCTGCCCCGTTCCTTGTTTGGTCAGCTGGGTGCCTGGTGCACACACATCAGCTGCTCGGTCATTCTCTGCCATAGCCTGGGCTCCTTGCCCACTGCATGTCGGGCATGGGGCTAGGCCCTGGAAGGGGTATCGAACCCTTAGACATAATAAAAGGCTATGGTGCAGGGAGTGGGTGGCATAAGGGCGGCATGTTGGATGGAGGCCCGGAGGAGGGAGGGGGCCAGGTTGCTGGTGAGGCCAGGAGTATGGACTTGCCTGCAGGACTCCCCAGAGGAGGGGACACCACAGCCCGGCCATTGGGGAGGGCGTGGCAGTAGGGGGCGAGCAGGTCGGCAGGGAGGGGCAGGTGGGCGGTGAGCAGGTAGGCTGGAGGGGGGGGAGTTGGGAGGAGAGCAGGCCCCCGGGGGAAGTTCGGGTCTATTTCTGTTCTGAAGCCCTCACACAAGCCTTGAATGTGACTGCCTCAAGGCAGCACAAGTCCCATCAACCAGCCACAGAGGAAAGGAGCTGGGGGTGGGGAGCTATGATTACAAAGGTGTTTCTACCCCTGATGACAGAGCATCACCTAGAAAACGTGGCCCAGGGGCCAATGGATTTGAGCAAACTTCCTTGCAGTTGAAGGAAGGGGATGGACAGAAATCCACTGCACAGAGCTGCTGGGCCATGGGGCCCGGAGGGGTGCAGAGAGCACCGCCTGGAGGAGGAGAAGCTGTGGAGGTAGCAGAGGAGTAACACCTGCAGAAGGGGGGTGGCCGCCACCAGGAGCAGGTGGGGACATGCTCTCACCGAGTGTCAGCGACACATGGAGACAGTGGGCTGAGTGGAGAGGAGATGGTGAGGCTAAAGCAGGGCCGGTGTTGGATTCAGACTGCGAGAGCCTTGGCCGCCTGCAGCCTGTGCGCTTTGTTCTGTAGATACGGGAGCACGAAGGGCTTTCCCTGGCGCCTTGAGAGGGAGAGTGAGGGCTCAGTGCAGAGTGATTGATGCAGGAGCTGTGGGCAGGAGCTATGCAGAAGGGAGATGTTAGGGACTGGAGACCAGGTAGATCCCTTTAGGGTAGTGGTTCTCAACCTTCTGGCCCTTTAAATACAGCTCCTCATGTTGTGGTGACCACCAACCATAAAATTATTTTTGTTGTTACTTCATAACTGTAATTATGCTATTGTTATGAATTATAATATAAATATCTGATATGCAGGATGGTCTTAGGCGACCCCTGTGAAAGGGTCGTTCAACCACCAAAGGGGTCGCGACCCACAGGTTGAGAACCGCTGCTTTAGGGTGAGAGCCAGCACAGAGGATTATGGGAAAGGTAAGGCCCAGTCTCAAAGTCCCTGCTAGGCTGCTGTGGTGGCCAGGAGGCAGGGAGCAGGCTGAGCTTTGGAGCAGAACATGCAGCAGACACCCACCCTCTCAGACTCAAGAGGGTCAAACCTAGGTCTCCAACGCTGTGCTTGACCTTCCAGGCCTGCCGCCTGCCCTGGCTCTTTCCGAGCTGCAGGCGATGGTTATTGTTCTGACTTGTGGATTTGTCCTGAACAAGGGCCTGTTGATCTCAGTCCTGTTTGTCCTTCTCCGGAAAGCCAGGGCCTCAGGTGAGTGGGGGCCGAGGCCGGGCTTGGGGTGGAAATGAATGAGGGGACCCAGATGGTAGCTGCAGACAACAGCTCAGAGGGGCCATGTCCCAGGGGTTCCCCAGAGTTTGCCTCCTTACTTTTCCCACTTCTTTGCCCAGGAGGCAGGCCCAGCCCCAGGCACCCTGTGAATGGCGCTGGGCTGGGCTCACCAGGACAGGAAGACCTGGGGGTGCGAGCGGCCAGCATGGTTTTGGCTGCTTGGCAATCAGTCTTTTCTTCAGAGGAGGAAGGGAGGCTGAAGCCGGGACTGGCATGGATGGATCACGTGCAAATGCTGTCTATTTCTCTCACTCCTCAGGCGAGCCAAACCCAGGGGAGCAGCAAAGCCACCCTTCCAGGAGCTGATGGGCATGGCTTCCTCCCTAGCAAACATCACATCCTCTCTCTGTTCCCCAAACGAACAAACAAATAAACTGATCTCTCAGGGAAGAAAAGGCTACTGAAACTTCTTTTGTGAGGTCTCTGCCCAGCCCCTTTCTTATTGAGAGAAACGTACTGAGCAGAAAGTGTGGGGAGCTGGGAGGAAGGAGACCCACTGAACTAATCAAAGGCCAAGAAAATGGCAAACTATCTTTTATAAAAAGTAAATACAACACCTGGGACTCAGAGGATCATCCAAATGAACCTGTGCTTGTTCCCGTGCTGCTGTTCAGACCCGCTCTGCTGGGTGTGTCTGGCCCCCCGGTGAAGCCTCTGGCAGACCCATCACTCTCCTCTTCATTTTAAATACATTTTATTTTTAAATTAAATTTATTTGGGTGACATTGGTTAATAAAATTATAAAGGTTTAATCTTCTGGTCTTTTTAAAAAATAGACTTTTTTTTAGAGCAGTTTTAGGTTCCCACCAAAATTAAGGACACGGTACAGTGCCCATATGGCCCTGTCCCCACAGGTGCACGGCCTCCCCGCTATCAGCGTCCTAGTCCCTGCCCACAGTCACCCATGGACGCACTTCACCGTTCGTCTGGTTTTATGGAATTTATTTTTTTCCACTTCCATCCCTCAGCTGCACTTCCTACCTGATGCCCCATCGGTATCCTCTTAATATAGTTCATGCATATGTCCTTTCACTCTACTTTCCATACATGTATTTACATTTGTGCGGGTCCTAGAAAACACATAGAAGTGTTTCATGTGCTGTATTTTATACGCGTTTCTCTCTGAGCTTTTGGGAATGACTCTCAAAGCCACACTTTTCCATAAAAATGTGCACTCCCAGGGAAAACTGCATCGTCTCTAGCACATTCTTCCTGGTTCTCTGATTCTGATTCAATGACAAGTATTTTATAATCAGAGGCCCAGTGGCTGAAATTCATGCAAAGGAGTCGAGGGGTCCCTCAGCCCGACCTGCTCCTCTCTCACTCCGGGACCCCTTGGGGGATGTCGGGCCTAAACCGGCAGTCGGACATCCCTCTTACAATCTGGGACGCTGCATGCACCAGTGACCATACTTTTCATACAGGTAAAAGGCATCTTGCTGTTGTATGGGCAGCTACATTTTTTTGCCCTGATTATAAAAAGCAGTACATAACATGATCCTTCTGAGGCAGTAGTGCCATTTTCCCCATCTTATGGGTGGAAACCTGAAGCAGAGAGAAGTTAAGTAATTGGCTTTGTCACACAGTTATAAGTGTCAGAATCAGGGCTGACCACAAAATGTGCAAGCCAGAGTCCATGCGTGTCATCACTGCATCATCCTGTTTGTTCAGTGTTAGAGTAGCCTGGCCAGGTTTGAATTTTTAAATCTAAGAGACAGTTCCCAATATACAGGGTAGGGTCCCTAGGCCCGGCCAGCAATCAGGGCCATCCGTGGGGCGACAAATGAGGGGGTGATAGGGAGGCCCCCCACTGGCACCCACCTAGACTGGTGGCCTGGGCTGCCCACTGGCCAGCCCAGCCCCCTGATTGCTGCCCCAGGTCACCTCCCTCTCAGCAGGCATGCGCATCATAGCAACCAGTCATTCTGCTGGTTGTTCCACTGTTTGGTTGATTTGCATGTTAGGGTTTTATTATATAGGATTTCCGCAAATCATAGGTAATTGATAGACATACAAATTCTGTGTTTCTTCCTCTGTTGTGGGAGGGATGAAAACCCCACACCGGTGAGTCTCCCCACGCAATTCATGTCAACATTTCTTTACTCCATATAAGAAGTTTTCATGTGTATTCTTAAGAAGGCTAAATGCTCAGCCGTCCAGCTGAGGGGAGCGGGACGTCCAGCTGCCCTCTGTCCACCAGGACTCTGTGTCCTTAGCTTTCCTCTGCCCCCCCCCCCCCCCCCCCCACCTAGCTTCTCCATGAACGTGGGGAAGTCCCAGAAGCAATGGGGTCGCAGCGGCCCTAATGGAGGAGGGGGAGAAAGTGACTAAGAGCTGGTGGTTCCAGGGGCATCGGCAGCAGGGGCCCCAGAGCTGTCCACCCCGGCCCTGCTGCCATGTCCCCCGTGACTGACTTCCCATGTGGCCTGGCCAGGCTGCTGGTCCCTCATGTCCTGGGAGCCAGAGGAGCCCACCCTCTCATTGCTGCCACCTGCTGGCCAGCCCCTCCTGGGACAGGTGTGAGGGGCAGCTGAGAGCCCCCCTCAGCAGAAGGACCAGCCTGACCCCAGACTGGGGTGCAGAGGCTGAACTCAGGACTGTCTCCCCATCCTACCTGGGCTCCAGATCTGAGCCTTTAGAGCAGTGGTTCTCAACCTTCTGGCCCTTTAAATGTGGTTCCTCATGTTGTGACCCAACCATTAAATTATTTTCGTTGCTACTTCATAACTGTAATGTTGCTACTGTTATGAATCATAATGTAAATATCTGATATGCAGGATGGTCTTAGGGGACCCCTGTGAAAACGTCGTACAACCGCCAAGTGGGTCGCGACCCACAGGTTGAGAACCACTGCCTTGGAGGGAACTGAAGGCTCTTATGAGTCCCTTGAATGCGGGGGGGTGTGGGTGGGGGGCACAGCTCAGTGAGGGGGGATTACCATCCCCCACAGCCACCCTCCCTGCATGTCCTCCCCTATGGTGAGAGGAGCCACCGTGACAAAGGGAGACAGATCAGGGCTCCCACAGTCCAGGACTGCCTGGTGAGGGTGGGTGGGTCCAATGGGGTGAATGTAGTTCAGGAGCCAGGCCCAGTAGCCTGCCATGTCTGCCTGCCGCACAGGCTCCTGGCTCTGACCTGGCCCCTCCTGCAGGGAAGGCTGGAGAATCCGGCTGCATTTGTCCCCTGAAGAGGGGTCTGCAGCCTGGACTGGCTGGAGAACACGTGGGTCTAGATGCGGCATCTCTACTCGGCCCTGGGACAGGGACCTCCCAGGCGGGAGAGCAAAGGTCATGGTCAGGAGACAAACACAGCCAGGGCCTTAGTGGGGCCACTCCAAGATGGATATGGGGAGAGAAGGGGGACTGGGGGAATCCTATGGGACCATAGGGAGGAGGCACCTCTTCCCTGTGTCCAGGAGAGGGCACCAGAGGAGAGACTACACTTGAACTGGCTGGCCTGGTACACACACACACACACACACACACACACACACACACACACACACACACTCACACTGACATCTGTCCTCCCCACCAGGAAGGTGTGGCTGCCACCTGCTATGCATCTTGGAGGGAGTTGAACTCCCCTGAGGAAAACGGGTCCCCAGGAGCTCCCCTCCATGGACCTTGACAGCAGCCAGACTGCCCTGTCTCCTTGGAGGGCAGGCTGTCCAGTGGAGAGCGCTGCACAGGGCTCAGGACCAGGGACCAGGGCTGCCACCTGTCCCGTGTGACCCTGCGCAGATCACTAACCCTCCCGGACCTCAGGTTTCCTCTCCTGGGAAAGGGGACACTCATTCCTACCTCAAGACTTTTCAGAATAAAACGAAACAACAGGAACTATATGCGACTGAGCACGTGCGTTGTGGTTGCTGGCCCTCAAGTTCTTTTCAAGTTATAATACTGTGTGTCATATTCTATGTTTTCAAAGCCTGCTGGACCCCACTTCTCTGTTTTGTCCTCGATTGTAAGGGGAAAGGGAGGGCGGAGGGGGACATGGTCCCCAGGTGGTGGGTGCAGGACCCAGGCAGAGGCCAGGGTGTGCCCTAGTGTCAGGCAGGGTGACCACCGACCCTGCTTGCTCAGGTGTTCGGGTCCAGCCCCAGTAGGTCCAGGGGTTCCCAAAGGTGTGGACGGAGTCGGTGAAGAAGGAATGACATGGAGGCAGCGTTCAGTTGATCAGCATAGCCAGGTTCTGCAGCCAGGTTCTGCAGCCATGTTCTCCAGTCAGGTTCTCTAGCCAGGTTCTCTCTTTTATTACATATGTATTTATACCATTTGATTCTAATTCTATCCACTGTATTCCAAAGGTTAGGGCCTTTGTTATATCCATTCCAAGGTCACTACTCTACTGTTCTGCTAAGCTACAAGGAAGTAACTGAAGGAGATTATCCTAAGTAAAGATTATGTAACTGAAGCATGATTGTTCATAGTTAAGATTAACTACCTGCCTGGTACTTAGTTAAGGAGTTTTACTGATTTATTCCCTTCTTTAGTCCTGTTAATCCCTAACTCCAGGGAAAAATCCCCAACTGGGGAAACAAGCTTTCTTGGAGCGGTGACCCTGGTTAGAACACAAAGCATTAAGAAGGGAAGCAAACATATTAAGAACAGTATGCCATGTACGCCAGGTCCCTTGAAACATATGCTGTGCAGATGTTTCTTCCCTGCAGCGACTGTGTCCAGCAGCAAGGATGGACCGGCTTCCGGCACCCAGGATCAGGGGCTCCTGGACCAGGCCGACCCGTGCACGCTGCCCATCTGTAGAGCCTGCTCCCACAGGACCCCATGGCAAGGAAGGACACAGCTCCTAGACTCAGAGGTTCACACCCGGCCCAGGGTCCTCAGCTGCCAGGGGCCTGGTGGCCTCTCTGGAGCTTCAGTCCTCTGGTACATCCTCCCCCAGGTCCCAGCATCTCATTCTGATGTGCCGCTCCCACCCTGTCCCCGAGCTCCAGGGGACCAGGTCCCAGCAGACCCAGGGCAGGGGTGCAGGCAGAGCCAGGTGTCAGGCAGCCCAAGGCCGCGGCTGCCTCAGGCGGTGAGAACCGAGCTTCCTGAGCAAGGGGCTGAGACGGGGTGCCCTGCGGGGGTGACCTGTGGTGGCCACGGGAAGGATGGACACGGAGTCCCCGGCTCCCCTGGCACATTCGGATGTTTGAACCGAGGAGGCAGCAGATGGGCGGGCCTGCCACCTTCCAATCTGAGGCAGGCTGGCAAGCCGGAGGCTCCCAGCTCTTGCAAATGCTGCACGCCCTGGGTCAGGCAGTTGGTGGGGGTTCAGCCACCCCACCCCTCCTGCAAGGCTGATGAACTCACCCCACTGCTGGGAGCAGGGTGGGTGGAAGGACCTCCCCAGGTGACCCCTCCCAGGGCAGCCCACCCCCCTGAATGGG